TGGCCTTGGTAACGTTGGTTTATGTGTGTCTGGCCAACGTTGGTTGTATGTGGCCTTAGCAACGTTGGTTGTATGTGTAGCCTTAGTAACGTTAGTTTGTATGTGGCCTTAGGAACGTTGGTTGTATGTGTGGCCTTGGTAGCGCTGGTTGTATTGTGGCCTTGGTAGCGCTGGTTGTATGTGTAGCCTTGGTAACGATGGTTGTATGTGTGGCCTTGGTAACGTTGGTTGTATGTGTGGCCTTGGTAACGTTGGTTGTATGTGTGGCCTTGGTAGCGCTGGTTGTATGTGTGTGTAGTAACGATGGTTGTATGTGTGGCCTTGGTAGCGCTGGTTGTATGTGTATTGGTAACGTTGGTTGTATGTGTGGCCTTGGTAACGTTGGTTTGTATGTGTGGCCTTGGTAACCTGGTTGTATGTGTGGCCTTAGTATCGTTGGTTGTATGTGTTTGCCTTGGTAACGCTGGTTGTATGTGTGAGCCTTGCTGGTTGTATATGTATGTAGTAACGTTGGTTGTATGTGTGGCCTTGGTAACGTTGGTTGTATGTGTGGCCTTGGTAACGTTGGTTGTATGTGTGGCCTTGGCGTTGGTTGTATGTGTGGCCTTGGTAACGTTGGTTATGTGTGGCCTTGGTAACGTTGGTTGTATGTGTGGCCTTGGTAACGTTGGTTGTATGTGTGGCCTGTTGCGCTGGTTGTATGTGTGGCCTTGGTAACGTTGGTTGTATATGTGGCCTTGGTAACGTTGGTTGTATGTGTGGCCTTGGTAACGTTGGTTGTATATGTGGCCTTGGTAGCGCTGGTTGTATGTGTGGCCTTGGTAACGCTTGTCGTATGTGTGGCCTTGGTAACGCTTGTCGTATGTGTGGCCTTGGTAACGCTTGTCGTATGTGTGCACGCTTTTTGGCCCCTTGTTACTGCCCAAATGTAAAGGAAAAAGGTAGGTCAGGTCAGGTTAGTTTAGGTTGGGTTAGGTTAGGTAAGGTAAGGTTAGGTTAGGTTAGGTTAGGTTAAATCAGGTTTGGTTAGGTTAGGTTGGGTTGGGTTAGGTTAGGTAAGGTAAGGTTAGGTTAAATCAGGTTAGGTTAGGTTAGGTTAGGTTAGGGTCCAAAATAAGAAGGATGAGGCAAGAGTTTTAGTGCCTGAGGAAGGTTGTCTCTACTGAGTTTTATGAAGGGGTAAAAATTTGTTGTTTTTGTTTACCTCGATGTTGTATGTGAGGTGAGGGAGAGAAGGTGAGGTGTGTGTTGGGGAAATGGTGAGGCGAGGTTAGGGTCGGGGGGAGGGAGGGAAGAGATATTACCTTGAAGAGAGAAGGGGAAGTGAGGTGAGGTGTGTGTGTGTGTGTTGGGGAGGTGGTTAGGAAAGATGAGCTAGGGAAGGAGAAGGATAGGGGAGCTGAAAAAGATATTATGAGCTTGGGGAGGCGGGTGGTGAGGGGCGGTTAGCTCGCTTGGAGAGGGAGGAGGAAGGGGAGAGGAGGTGTGAGTGTGGGGTGCATGGTGAGGGAGGAAGAAGGGGAGAGGAGGTGTGGTGAGGGTGCATGGTGAGGGCAGATTAAGCTACTGGCCATTCTAAAATTCTGGCAATGTTCTGTACGAAAGTGTTACCAGATAATTTAAGCCACCCGGTAGATAATCGTGTATACTAACACCTGCGGTCGACCGTATCCAACCATTCCCAAACTAGTGGACGTAACTGGTAAAGATATTTTTTGGGGGGACTGTACCAAGACCGTGCGGGTATATAGGTCGTTTACATCCAAGGTACAGTCTATGAAAATACGTCACCTTGCTGTACCGTCGGCGTCAACACTATAGATTTACTGTACCTCAAGAGTTTAAACTCCCATCAGAATATATTACAAATGTTGGATGACACAGTTCAGTTCTGGTCACCGTACTACAGAATGGATATAGAATCCCTAGAAAAAATTCAGAGGAGAATGACAAGACTGATCCCGGGCATTAGGAACCTTGAGTACAGAGACAGGTTAAAGCATCTTAATTTGCACTCCCTCGAGAGACGTAGAGTGAGGGGCGATATGATCGAGGTGTATAAATGGAAGGCAGGGCTAAAGAAAGGTCATATAACAAAGGTACTCAAAGTATCCAACCAGAAGCGAACTCATAGCAACAGTTTTAAATTAGACAAATTTAGATTTAGGCGCGAGATAGGTAAACATTGGTTTGGAAATAGAGTAGTGGATGAATGGAACAAGTTACCAAACATCATCATTAACTGGAACACGCTGGATAGCTTCAAACATAGGGTGGATGAGCGATAGGGGTTGGGTGTAAACGGGACTGTCCAGTAGGGGGCCAATAGTTACTGTTTCCTCCAGTCTTAAGTGACCAAATTAACACTGAGACTCTCACTACTAGATAAGTTCACTTAATAAAGATACTTATACTTGGCACTTAAAATAATGACATAAATAAGCGTGGTTATTTCTCCTCCCACCCCCTTCCCCTCTAGTACCTCTACTCACCACCGACCCCTACCCCTCCTCCCACCCCCTTCCCCTCTAGTACCCCCTACTCCCCACCGACCCCCACCCTCCTCCCACACCCTTCCGACCCCACCCCCATCGACCCTCAATTTCACTGACCCCTACCCTCCTCCCCCACCCCCCTTCCCTCTAGTACCTCTACTCCCCACCGACCCCTACCCCTCCTCCCCACATCCCTTCCGACCCCCACCTCCCCCATCACCCCCACCTCCCCCCACCGACCCCTCACCTCCCACCGACCCCTACCTCCCCACCGACCCCTCACCTCCCCCCACCGCCCCACCTCCCCCCATCGACCCCACCTCCCCCACCGATCTCTCATCACTCTATCGACCCCTACCCCCCATCGACCCCTACCTCCCCCACCGACCCCTTACATCCCCCACCTCCGACCGCTACCTCCCCCACCGACCCCTACCTCCTCCACCGACCCCTACCTCCTCCTCCTCCCCCCCTGACAAGAGCCAGGGGTGTAAAGCCCAGCTACAAGTGAATTAAAACACGTGGTGAAATACATACAGACGCTGGTATCCACTGTAACTCATGCCTTAGGAGACCAATTACTTACCACCCACTACCACTTATCGCTACTTACCACCCACTACCACTTATCGCTACTTACCACCCACTACCACTTATCGCTACTTACCAGCCACTACAACTTGCTGCTGACTCGTCTCCCACCATGCTACGGTCGGCAGCTCACCTGGGCTTTGTACCTGTAACAGTCAGACAGGTAAAAACACACCTCTTTGATATTGAGATTTACGCTTTAAGATTATTTTTCAGGTGTTAAAGTCGCGTTCGTTGTGGTGCTGTAACTGAGACACACACACACACACACACACACACACACACACACACACACACACTAGCTTGGCTTCACTCGTCTTCTAATATTCAAAAATCTTTCTCAGTATTGTAAGTCGTTTTGAAATGATAATAATAATAGTAAAAATAATAATAATAATAATAATAATAATAATAATAATAATAATAATAATAATAATAATATAATAATAACAATAATAATACAATACTAATAATAATAATAATAATAATAATAATAATAATAATAATAATAATAATAACAATAATAATAATAATAATAATAATGATAATAATAATAACAATAATAATAATAATAATAATAATAATAATAATAATTGTAATAATAATAATGATAATAATAATAATTAGTAATAATAATAATAATAATAATAATAATAATAATATATTAATATTTAACTAATATAAATTGACTCATAACACTAATTCATTTACTAATACATCCTTGTTATTCTCCACCAACAGTCTCTTCTCCACACTATCCTCCACCACCACCATCACTCCAACACTATCATCCTTCCCCACCATCACCTCATCCCCCACCACCATCACCCTTCCCCACCATCACCATATCCCCCACCCACCCATCCTTCCCCACCATCACCATCACCCCATCCCCACTAATATCATCCTTCCCCCACCACCACCCTATCCCCACCACCATCACCCTTCCCCACCATCACCCATCATCCCCCACCACTATCATCCTTCCCACCATCACCTCATCCCACCACCATCACCCTTCCCCACCATCACCATATCCCCACCACTATCATCCTTCCCCACCATCACCCCATCCCCCACCACCATCACCTTACCCCACTAACTCCATCACCCTTCCCCACCACATCACCATCCCCACCACTATCATCCTTCCCACCATCACCCCATCCCCCACCACCATCACCTTTCCCCCACTAACTCCATCACCCTTCCCCACCATCACCACCATCCCCCACCATCAACATTCCTTCCCCACCATCACCTCATCCCCCACCACCATCACCTTTCCCCCACTAACTCCATCACCCTTCTCCACCATCACTCTCCATCTTGACTCCATCATCCACGCCCACTGATGCAACATAGCCTTTCACAATAACTATACGCAAACGCAAGAAAAATACAAATATATTAACAAATCTGTCTATATGTATCTTCCCCTCATTTTCCTAATACGCTGTTGAGGTTATGAAGAAGCCGCCATTAAAGTGAGTTTGAGTTAAGTTAAACGTTCTTAAATCACAGTGATGACACGAACGCCGAAAGATTTCCTATTTTTCATATTCCTGGAATGGTTGTAACGTCACTCACCCTTATTCCCCGCTCACCTTCCTCAATAACCTGTACGGTACTCTCTATTTAATGGTCTTATTACATTTCAATAAAAACAATGACGATTACAAGATTGTTTTAGGTACGAACGACGATGTGTTTATGTTAATATTCCCGTATATATGAAATCTGTAATTTAAACTTGCGATCTAGTGTTGCCCGAGTCTGCAATTGGCAGCGTGGTAATACAAAATTCAGTGTTTTGCCTTCGTAATGTGTCCAGTTATGAGAACGTTGGCAAATGTGCATAAATAGCCCCCAAAATACCGCAGATCGGACGGATAAAATTTCCCGCAAACCAGTGAAAAAAGTGGCCCAATGTGTGATTTATATTCCAATCTGGCAACAGTGTGCACGCCGCCCCCTGGCCGTGGTCGCGCGCACCAGGGAGCCGGGCGGCAGTCTCACCTGAACCGTCGTGGTGTGCGTCCCATCGCTCGTCGGCTCTACACACTGCCACACCACGCACGCTACGGTTAGTACCTACCCAAGCCGGCATCATCCAGCGCCTACCACGCTCTCTCCGTCTCCTTGTGATATACCCAACCCGCAGTTTGTGTTGATAAAAGTATACCCTGACGTGAGTGAACAAACTGTGACTAACAGCAGAGCTATGTACACTGTGCACCAGCGAGCTAACTGGGTATTCTGCTCACAGGCATGGCAGAGTGGGGGATACTTAAGTGATGTTCACGAGGAACGCTCCTTGTGCGAGTGGTAGTGCCAGTGGTTTGTCCAACTCCAGTAGAATTAGATGAAACGTAACTTAAAAAGAGTTGAACATGAGGGAAGGTTGGGTCAGGCCGCGGCCGGCGTAGACGGTGGCGTCAGTGCATCAGATGACGCTAGCAGCGTCGCCACCGCCGCCACACGCTCCCTGGCCTTGTGTTGACGAGTACGAATCAGTTTGTGTGAGCTTGTCTCGCCACAGCTGCCGCTATACTCCAGCCACCGATGGCCTCACAGCAGCACCACCACCACCAGCAGCCAGCCAGCTGTACCACCGCTTCACTCCACCACTGTGTTTCACTGCCCAGAAGCTTGTGGAGACGGTTGTGTGGCGCGGGTGGTGATGATGGCGGCGAGGCGGCGGCGGCGGCAGTGTGGGTCCGCCGCCGCTGTAGCACAAGGCCTCCCGTTTGTTGCGAGGAACACTTGTCATCCGCGTATAAATAACACGCCAACAAAAACGTAGAAGCAAGGGGGTAAGGGAGAATTCAGTCCGCCATGTGCCCGCGACAAGTCCACATAACTCCGGTGTTTGGCCACAGTGGTGACGCTCACTCGCCAGCTACTGGGACACCCTGGAGGGCCCCACCACCAGCCTGCATTGTACCTCCTTGTATTGAAAGTTGACACGACGCGTTCAGTTTTATCTTCCTTGGCGGTAATAATGTTAAGTGTATCTCCGCTCAAAGATGTTCTAACGCCAAGTCCAGTTTTGTTGTTAAAGTTTAATGGGTGATAGGCAGGGTGTGTGTGTGTGGTGATGCTGCAAGCCAGTAGTAACAGGGCCCGGCCCGGCAGCCCTCCACTAACAAAAGAATCTCAACCCCTTCAAAGGTCATCTCGTAAGGCGCTGGTCGAAGATGTGTTCCTCATTACGTGTTCTCACTTCACTCGTTATCTATTATAATACTACGACTCCTTAAACAATGTAGCTGTAAACTGTGACCTTTGTGAGTACAGTACAGTAGTGGTCGCATCTACAGTATACACCTCTTAACTTCATGCATAATTCATACAGGGTTTGGTAAGGTAGATAATGTGGCGGTATCCGCTCTTGATGGACTTAACAAAGATTAGATTAGTTGAGAGGAGCGAAGGGAGCCATTATGATGCCGGTATCGACTTGTTCCACAGTATTGAAGCGTATATAATAATTCATTGGGAGGCGCGCGCACGTGGCGGCGTCGTGGGTCAGGTACAAGCCGCCCCGCACCCTCCGCTACCTCCGCCAACTACCTCACTGTAGCCGTGTGTGTAAATGACCACAGCTAGCATACCTCCGTACTTGACGGAGGTATTGTGCCTAATATTAGCATGTAATTTATTCATAAATGATCCTCATTTATATTCGTATCGTGTAGAAAGTTATCTTTAAAGTGCGTGGTGCCTTTGTGTATATATTTATATCTACATATTTTTATCTATTTGTATCTGTATATTATTATTCTACCCTTGTTAGACTAGTACTAGTAGTAAGAGTAGCAGTAGGCCAAGCGACAGATCAAGCTTTCACACATCTACTACATTTAAGACCCTAGGAATGTCGCCTTGTGCACAGGAAGAAATTTGGAATACATTTACGGTCATTAAGAAGAGTTTAGCAGTACACAGGTGAGTATCAGTGCCGCCGCAACCGCTTGTTAGCCACCCAGCACCGTGTAGCGCTGCTCACCATGCTTCCTCTGCCAGGGTAGTAGGCCTAAACGTAGAGGCCGCCAGCCACTGTATACGAGGACCTCCTAGTCTTCTTAGTTTCTCTCCTCTCTAATCTTGGCCTCGCACCTGGGGGATGATGAACCGCTTGGCACTACTTTCAAGGGGGTGTCGCCTTGCCTTGCCGCGCCTCCCTCGAAGGCTGCGTGCGCGAGCTGGTCACCATCTCCCCCCCACGGTGCTTGGTCAGTTGGGGTCCCAGCAGGCAGTTTTTCTTTTTATAATTTCTTCCAGTACATTTTATGATTAACCAGTAATTTTGTTGGATGCATGACATGGGCGCTTGGTGTATGTGTCCTTTACTAGCTGATAGAAAGCCTTGGCTTATGTGAGCATGACCCCCCACCACGTGCAGCCCCCCAGTACTCCTCCCCCAGGATGGCGTGTCAGCTCCCCTTCCCCGGAGTGCGTCTGGATCAACCTATGTTACGTTAAGAGGACCACCTCCTCCGCCGCCCAAGTGCCAGAATACCTCTCTGCTGAAGTGCATGCTACGGTACCACAGGCCTACCCCGTGATGACTGATGGAAAGTTTGTGTGATGGCACGTCAATATTTTACTGAGCTGGAAAGTGAGGGCGCGTGGGGTTATTCCGACTCAGGAAAGGTGTCGTAGTATGCAAATGAAGACTACACAGACTGCTGGTGTTTACAGGAGCGTGTGAGTGTTAGAAGACTATGGCTAGTTAGATTTGCGGGTTCCTCCTGGTCATTATGGATGTAGAGATGGATGAACTTACGGTGAGAGAAACGCCATGTGTGTGACTCTACTCCAGGTGTGCGTGGAGCCAAGAGGTTTGTAAAATGTTAACCTGAATGACGTGTGATATCTGGCTCTCCCCTCCCCCTGTCTCCCCCCCTCTCTCTTTCTTCCCCCTGTCTCCCCCCACCGCCTTCCCCCACCATATGACAGCTTCCGGCCGGGGGTGCAGGAGATGAGAATATCAATATAGGATTGTTCGTCAGACCGGGATAGGAGAGAGGGAGGGAGGGAGGGAGGGAGGAGAGTTGGTAGATAGAACCTGTGTGTTTGTCTGTCCGTCCACCTGTTTTTGGCATCTGTCGTTCGCTTTATGAATAGTGCATCTCCTTCCCGTGTGCATAGTAAATATATATGTGTGTGTCTGTCTGTTCAAACATACACAGTTGACGATGGATTGACAGTTTGCGTCAGGGCGAGTGTGGATAATGCAACCCGATCTTTGGCCGTTTGTGTGTGTGTTCGAAATTGGTACTTAAGGCGTGGTTTGTGTGAGACGACAACGTGGTTACTTGAAGTACTTGTTTCAATGACCAGGTGTGTGTGTATATGTACGTAAAATGTATAGTGTATGTATGTGTGCAGTATATATGCTACCTGTGATACACACTTGACTAAATTATGATAAGTTTTTGGAGTTGTTTTAGGTGTGTGTGAGAGAGAGCTTGTGAATAATGAGCATAATGACTACACTTGACATTGGGTGAGGTAATTGTTGATAATACTGATAGAGATGCGGTAAATTGACCTTGTAAATTAGACAGGCGTAAATGACTGTAAATTAAAATAATGAAATTGACTAAATTAGACTGGCTTAAGTGACTGTAAATTAGATTGGCGTAAGTGACTGTAAATTAGACTGGCGTAAATGACTGTAAATTAAAATAATGAAATTGACTAAATTAGACTGGCTTAAGTGACTGTAAATTAGATTGGCGTAAATTACTGTAAATTAGGACTGGCGTAAATGAGTGAATTGTGACCTTGGATGTAAATGGCGACCCCCTCTTCTGACCTTGTAAATTCCGGCTTTTTTTTTACGTTCAGATCTTGTAAATAGTATACATAACCCTGGGTGGAAATTGTGGCTTAAAGGGCAAATTGTGACTCCAAGTTAATATATGACCTTGAAATGTACAGCTGTGTACCCGTGAGTGACCCTGTGTGCCCGTGAGTGACCCTGTGTGCCCGTGAGTGACCCCTGTACCTGTGGTGACCCTTGTGGGGACCTGGTACCGGAGTGACCCTGTGTACCCGTGAGTGACCCGTGCCCGTGGGTGACCCTGTGTACTGTGGACCCTGTGGCCTGTGAGGACCCTGGGTACTGTGTGTGACCCTGTACCGTGTGGACCCTGTGTACCTGTGAGTGACCCTGGTACCCGTGGGACCCTGTGTGCCCGTGGAGGACCCTGTGTCTGGTGGTGACCCTGTGTACCTGTGAGTGACCCCTGTGCCCGTGGAGGACCCTGTGTCCCGTGGACCCTGTGTGCCCTGAGTGACTGTGTGCCCGTGAGTGACCCTGTGTCAGGTGTGACCCCTGTACCCGTGGAGGACCCTGTGTACCGTGTGTGTGACCCTGTGTGCCCGTGGAGTGACCCTGTGTGCCCGTGAGTGACCCTGTGTGCCCGTGAGTGACCCTGTGTACCCGGAGTGACCCTGTACCCGTGAGTGACCCTGTACCCGTGAGTGAGACCCTGTGTACCCTGAGGACCCTGTGTACCCGTGGTGACCCTGTGTACTGTGGTGACCCTGTGCCCGTGAGTGACCCCTGTCCGTGAGGACCCTGTGTACCTGGGGACCCTGTACTGTGTGTGACCCTGTGTACCGTGGTGACCCTGTGTTCCGGTGTGACCCTGTGCCAGTGGACCCTGTGCACCGTGGAGTGACCCTGTGTCTGTGGAGTGACCCCAGCCCGTGAGTGACCCTGCCCGTGAGTGACCCTGTGAGGACCTACTGTGTGTGTGACCTGTACCTGAGTGACCCTGTACCCTTGAGTGACCGTGTACTGTGTGTGACCCTGTGTACCGTGTGAGTGACCCGGACTGTGTAGTGACCTCTGTACTGTGTGTGTGTGACCTGTGTACCGTGAGTGACCACTGACCTTGAGTTTGGCACACCTGTGTACCTTGAGTGGGTGACCATTGTGTACCTTGAGTGAGTGACCACTGTGTACCTTGGAGGTGACCACTGTGTACCTTGGAGGAGTGATCACTGTGTATCGAGTGAGTGACCACTGTACCTTAAGTGAGTGACCACTGTACCTGAGTTTGGCAAGTGTACCATTTGGAGGGTGACCATTGTACCTTGAGTGAGTGACCACTGTGTATCGTGAGGAGTGACCACTGTACTTAAGTGAGTGACCACTGTACCTTAAGTGAGTGACCACTGTACCTTGAGTTTGGCACACCTGTGTACCTTGAGGGGTGACCATTGTGTACCTTGAGAGAGTGACCACTGTGTACCTTGAGTGTGACCATTGTGTACCTTGAGAGTGACCACTGTGTACCTTGAGAGGACCACTGTGTACTGTGAGTGAGTGACCACTGTACCTTGAGTGAGTGACCACTGTACCTTGAGTGAGTGTCCACTGTGTACCTTTGGAGTGAGTGACCACTGAGTACCTTGGAGGAGTGACCACTGAGTACTTTGAGTGAGTGACCACTGAGTACCTAGAGTGAGTTAGACCTGAGTACCTAGAGAGTGAAGGGAGCGACCGACCCTGAGTACCTTGGAGGAGTGACCGACCCTGAGTACCTAGGAGTGAGTGAGTGACCGACCCTGAGTACCTAGAGTGAGTGACCCTGAGTACCTAGGAGTGAGTGACCCTGAGTACCTAGGGAGGAGGACCCTGAGTACCTAGAGGAGTTAGTGACCCTGAGTACCTAGGAGGAGTGAGTGACCCTGAGTACCTAGAGTGAGGAGTGGACCGACCCGAGAACCTAGAGGAGGACTGACCCTGAGAACCTAGGAGTGAGGAGTGACCCTGAGAACCTAGGAGGAGGAGTGACCCTGAGAACCTAGAGTGAGTGAGTGACCCTGAGAACCTAGGAGGAGTGAGGACCCTGAGAACCTAGGAGTGAGGAGTGACCCTGAGAACCCAGGAGGAGGAGTGACCCTGAGTACCTAGAGCGAGGAGTGACCCTGAGTACCTAGAGAGCGAGTGAGTGACCCTGAGTACCTAGAGTGAGTGAGTGACCCTGAGTACCTAGAGTGAGTGAGTGATCCTGAGTACCCAGGAGTGAGTGGAGTGATCCTGAGTACCTAGGAGTGAGTGAGTGACCCTGAGTACCTAGAGTGAGTGAGTGACCCTGAGTACCTAGAGGAGTGAGTGACCCTGAGTACCTAGAGGAGTGAGTGATCCTGAGTACCTAGAGTGAGTGAGTGAGTGACCCTGAGTACCTAGAGGAGTGGAGTGACCCTGAGTACCTAGGAGGAGGAGTGACCCTGAGTACCTAGAGTGAGGAGTGACCTGAGTACCTAGAGGAGTGAGGACCCTGAGTACCTAGAGTGAGTGAGTGACCCTGAGTACCTAGAGGAGGAGTGACCCTGAGTACCTAGGAGGAGTGAGTGGTGACCCTGAGTACCTAGAGTGAGTGAGTGAGTGACCCTGAGTACCTAGGAGTGAGTGAGTGAGTGACCCTGAGTACCTAGAGGAGTGAGTGAGTGACCCTGAGTACCTAGAGGAGTGACCCTGAGTACCTAGGAGGAGGTGAGTGAGTGACCCTGAGTACCTAGAGTGAGGAGTGAGTGACCCTGAGTACCTAGAGTGAGTGAGTGACCCTGAGTACCTAGGAGGAGGAGTGGGTGACCCTGAGTACCTAGAGAGGAGTGAGTGACCCTGAGTACCTAGAGTGAGTGGAGACCGAGTACCTAGGAGTGAGTGACCCTGGGTACCTAGAGGAGTGACCCTGAGTACCTAGAGTGAGTGACCCTGGGTACCTAGGTGAGTGAGTGACCCTGAGTACCTAGGAGGAGGAGGACCCTGAGTACCTAGAGTGAGTGAGGACCCTGAGTACCTAGGAGGAGGAGTGACCCTGAGTACCAGAGTGAGGACGCTGAGTACCTAGGAGGAGGAGGACCGACCCTGAGTACCTAGAGAGGAGTGACTGACCCTGAGTACCTAGGAGTGAGTGAGTGACCGACCCTGAGTACCTAGAGGAGCACTGACCGACCCTGAGTACCTAGGAGGAGGACCCTGAGTACCCAGAGTGAGTTACCCTGAGTACCTAGGAGTGAGTGACTGAGTACCTTGAGTGAGTGAGTGACCCTGAGTACCTTGGAGGAGTGGAGGAGGACCCTGAGTACCTAGGAGGAGTGACCCTGAGTACCTAGGAGTGAGGACCCTGAGACCTAGGAGTGAGCGACCCTGAGTACCTAGGTGAGAGGAGGGGACCCTGAGTACCTAGAGTGAGGAGTGAGTGACCCTGAGTACCTAGAGTGAGTGAGACCCTGAGTACCTAGAGGAGGACCCTGAGTACCTAGGAGTGAGTGAGTGACCCTGAGTACCTAGAGTGAGGAGGACCCTGAGTACCTAGGAGGAGTGAGTGACCCTGAGTACCTAGGAGGAGTGACCCTGAGTACCTAGGAGGAGGAGGACCTGAGTACCTAGAGTGAGGAGTGACCCTGAGTACCTAGGAGGAGTGAGTGACCCTGGTACCTAGAGTGAGTGAGGACCCTGAGTACCTAGGAGGTGAGTGGGAGTGACCCTGAGTGCCTAGAGTGAGGACCCTGAGTACCTAGAGGAGTGAGTGAGTGAGTGACCCTGAGTACCCAGAGGAGTGAGTGAGGAGGACCCTGAGTTCCTAGAGTGAGTGAGTGAGTGACCCTGAGTACCTAGAGGAGGAGTGGAGTGACCCTGAGTACCTAGAGGAGTAGACCTGAGTACCTAGAGGAGGAGTGACCCTGAGTACCTAGCTCTGAGCGAGTGACCCTGAGTACCTAGTTTGAGCGAGTGACCCTGAGTACCTAGTTTGAGCAGTGACCTGAGTACTTAGTTTGAGCGAGTGACCCTGAGTGCCTGTCGTGAGCAGGTGACCCTGAGTGCCTGTCGTGAGCGAGTGACCCTGAGTGTCTGTCGTGAGCGAGTGACCCTGATTACCAAGTAGTGAGTGCGTGACTGACCCCGAGTACCAAGGTGAGTGGTGACCGACTCCGAGTACCAAGAGTGGTGACCGACTCCGAGTACCAAGGTGGTGACCGACCCCGAGTACCAAGAGTGAGTGGTGACAGACTCCGAGTACCAGAGTGGTGACCGACTCCGGTACCAGGTAGTGACTGACCCCAGTACCAAGACTGGCCGATCCCGAGTACCAAGAGTGAGTGACCGATCCAGTACCAAGAGTGAGTGAGTGACCGACCCCAGTACCAAAGTGATGAACCCTAGTGCCAGGGTGAGTGGTGACCTACCCGAGTTCATAGGTGAGTGACCGACCCTGAGTACCTAGAGTGAGTGTCCCTGAGTACCTAGAGTGAGTGACCGACCGACCCCGAGTACCTAAGTGAGTGACCGACCGACCCCGAGTACCTAGAGTGAGTGACCGTCCGACCCCGAGTACCTAGAGTGAGTTAGTGACCGCCCCTGAGTAACGAGAGGATTAGTGACCGACCCTGAGTACCTAGAGTGAGTGACCCTAAGTACCTAGAATGAGTGACCTTGTGTGAGTTAGTGACCCTATGTACCTTGTGCGAGTGGCCGACCCTGTGTACCTTGTGTGAGTGACCGACCAACCCTGTGTACCTTGTGTGAGTGACCGACCCTGTGTACCTTGAGTGAACGAACCTGTGTACCTTGTGTGAGTGACCGACCTTGTGTGAGTGGCCGACCCTGTGTACCTTTTGTGAGTGACCGATCCTGTGTACCTTGTGTGAGTGACCGACTCTGTATCTTGTGTGAGTGAGTGACTGTACCTTGTGTGAGTGACCGACCCTGTATACTTTGTGTAAGTGACCTACCTTGTGTGAGTGACCAACCCTTAGTACCTTGAGTGAGTGACCCTGTGTACCTTGTGTGAGTGACCGACCCTTATAACCTTGAGTGAGTGACCCTGTGTACCTTGTGTGAGTGACCGACCGACCCTGAGTACCTTAAGTGACCCTTAGTCCCTTGAGTGACCCTGTGTACTTCGAGTGAGTGACCTTGAACACCACGAGTGAGTGACCCCTGCCTTAGGGCACCATCTATCAGTGACTTCCTTCCCGTGTGAGTGACCATATGAGTGCCCTCCATGAGTGCCCCGTCTGACCCTTATAAATGACCCTCCCTTTCGATGAGTGACCTCCCGGGTGTGAGTGCCCCTTGGTGTGAGTGCCCTGTCTGACTCATAAGGGTAAAAAAAAAATAAAACCTACCCCTCTCCGTATGAGTGACACCCCCCTTAACCCCCCCACCTCCCGTGTGAGTGCTGGTGGGTCGTGACTGACGTGGTGTCTCCTCCTCCCACAGACCGTGTGGTGCCCCCACTGTGCCCCTGCTGCCCCGCCCGCCCGCCCGTGAAACCCAGCCCACCAGCCCGCCCGCCCGCCCGCGCCCACCGCCCACAACCACCACACCCGCCCGGAGCCACCAGCCAGCCACCCCCCGGCTTGCCCCATAGTGCCATCCCAGATCTCAACATGGCCACTATAGACTCCAAGCCCCTGACCACGAATGACGGCCCCTCAGCTTCCCTTTCTATGCGACTCTTGATGCAGGGAAAGGTAGGTTCAGCCTCTTCCTTCTACTACTGCCTCTCTTTGTTTGGCACACACACACACACACAGGTTGAGGGGGCCGACTCGAGCTGTCGAAGGCCCCCTCCTTGTCATCATTACAGCCTGGACATCATTATCATCGTCGTCATGCAACTGCCGGTGATGAGGTATTTGGACACACTAAAATACACACATGTCATGACCTACACCTGTCACTGTATGGTTTTGTGTGTACATACTCAGGGGTGAAGTTTATACGTACACGTCAGTCGATGTAGACATAATGTACACATGGAGGGTTTTTATCACGCACACAAACTCACACATGTAGGGCAGCTCCTCAGTAACACATGTGTCTTCAACAATATGTGGCAGGTGTTTAGTGACCTCATTTCTTCACATGTGACTCCCCTCAATGCACATGTACACCTTATACATGAACTCTCCTTACACGTGTCTCCTATGTACTGTACACCTGCTATAGATGCAAGATGGGTTATGCAGGTGTATCAACAAAACATCTTTACACTGAGGGTGTCATACAATTTGGCAACACGAAATATTCTGAGTAATGATTTTTGGTGATGTGTCATGTTGGTAACCCTTATCGCTCCTGTGTGGGAAACTGTGTACATGTCAGTCGTAAATATTACACTTATGTCAGTTTAGTCCATTTGTACAGTAGTATAATTACTATAATCTCAATTTACCTATCACTCGTGTTATAAAAATATTGTTCTTTTGTGATAAATTATATAACTATGGAATGTGTTGTGGTTGTTAGTGGCGTTATAAAACGTAAATAAGCATGAATGAAACATGTCACAGTCGACGGGAATGTTGTATACAGTAAAGTTGCCAGACAGTGTATTTAAGAATTATAATAACGTGTATTGAATGCATATCATAACTACACTAAGTTTTGGCTCACAGTAACGGTTGTAATGTTGTGGTCCATACTTCACAACTCCGCGTAGTTAACACCAGAATCATAACAACAACTCTCGTTCAATATATAACAATAACATCAGTCGTTGTAATCAAAGTCAATCTCACACACGCCAGAGGGTTGCAACATCAAGTATAACCACAAACTGCACTCGTTAGGTTAAGGAACTCCTGGCCGCCATATTGTATACACTTACCATTTTTACTATTTCGTTTTTCTTTTATAAATACAATTCAAGAGCCCGTGGGGTTGCATTACAGTTAAATAAATACAATTGTAACAAATTTCACGGTTTTGTTATGGCCAGATCTGCCGAGGTGGATGTGTCTTGAATCCTGCGTCAAAACAAACAAACAAACTGTGGCTTCCGGGTTATGAGTGATTTACTAGTACAAGTTATTTCATTCATTCCAAAGTTAACCTAAAGACGAGCCATAAATATCACCACAACATTATTCGGAAATGCACTTCCGATACAGACATGCCAACCCTTCCGATACAAAATGTGCTTGACAGACATACCGATTCTTCCGATATAAACCACTTGAGATTCTTGCCAACCCTTCCGATACAAGTCATAATGCTCATTCTGTAATCCATATCACTCGGCTGTGTGTATATGTAGTATGTACACAGTCATACTTAAATTCACGTGACACACACCATATACAAAGATATGTGCATCTGTTACATACACCTGCCTTGTGTACATGGTGCTGTGTACAGGTGTCTTCTTCAAGGTTTCTGTGTACGTGAAGTGTCATCAGAAAAACCATTACAGTACTCACACACCTGTCAAGATCACACACACACACACACCTGTCAAGATCACACACACACACACCTGTCAAGATCACACACACACACCTGTCAGGATCACACACCCATAAGATAAGTAGAGATACAGTGAGTATCCTTAAGAGTGGTTACAGAACACATCCACTATTGATTACAGTCATTACTGGAACGATTTTAGTATAATTTACTGTGGTAGTGATTATTATAGTTCATTATACAAGCCCCCACTGTAAGCTATGTAATCTTCGTTAATTCAGAAAGAACATTACAGTACTTATGAGAAGCACAAACACTAATGCCAGGTGTGCCTTCCTATAATTTGGTTCATTAGTTCAGGTACATTACAGTACAGGTAAATACAGGTACAATATTTTTGGTACCTTCCCACAACATACAACTATGGCATGTAACTATCTTCATATCCTTCAATAAAACGTATCTGTATATTTATTTATTTTTACATTAACTACAAAATATGACCAATTACAGTACACACACACACACACACACACACACACACACACACACACACACACACACCCACCCACCCACCGTATTTTGAAATAGTGTACTGTACTTTAAGTTACATTACACCATCACTAAGTCACTGTATTTGGCCAAGTCACTGTATTTGTTCAGGTCACTGTACTCCAAGTCACTGTATTTCGTGGTCACCATATTTGGGTGTTATTATCCACCTTCTGACCAGTCCACTTCACTATACAACACTATATCCAAAAGGAATTAGTTGCAGCATTATTTTCCCCACCATACAGGCCCCTCCCCTTCACCTACAGGTCACCATACAGGCTCCCCTCCCCTCACTCCACAGGTCACCATACAGGCCCCTCCCCTTCACCCAGGTCACCATACAGGCCCCTCCCTCACCCACAGGTCACCATACAGGCCCCCTCCTTCACCTACAGGTCACCATACAGGCCCTCCCTTCACCTACAGGTCACCACAGGCCCCTCCCCTCACCCAGGTCACCATACAGGCCCTCCCTTCACCTACAGGTCACCATACAGGCCCCTCCCCTTCACCCACAGGTCACCATACAGGCCCTCCCTTCACCTACAGGTCACCATACAGGCCCCTCCCTCCACCTACAGGTCACCATACAGGCCCCTCCCTTCACACCTACAGGTCACCATACAGGCTCCCCTCCCTTCACCTACAGGTCACCATGTAGGCCCCCTCCCTTCACCTACAGGTCACTATACACCCCCTCCCCTTCACCTACAGGTCACCATACAGGCCCCCTCCCCTTCACCTACAGGTCACCATACAGGCCCCCTCCCCTTCACCTACAGGTCACCATACAAGGATACTTGTCACTATGCTCAATCAAATCATCATACACTTATACACTAACTCTTAACACGTCACTATTCACTCACCACGTCACCATACATTTACCACAACCACGTCACCGTACAGTTATGCACAACCATTAACGTCATCATACATTCACCACAACCACCGCACCATAAACTCACCATACACTAGCCACGTCACTATACACTCACCACGTCACCATACAGTTATAAATTCACCACAACCACGTCACCATACAGCTATACACTCGCTATATTTCACCTTGAGCACGTGACTACACACCTGCGCGGGTATGGTGATGATGGTGACGCAGTAAGCATGTTGGTGTGTAGTGTTGGAAGGGGAGGTTGTGTTGGTGTGGTACTGCTTGGAGACCCCCCCTCCCCCCCTCCCCCCTCCTCCATCCCTAAGTCCTCCTTCCTTCCTTCCCTCCCTCCCTCCCTCACCATTGCCACATTACCTTCCTTCCAGACACACCCTCCTTCTCCCTATTCACCCTGTGCATGACTTCAGCTTGGTATGTCACTTCCCTCACCCTCCTCTCCCTCACCCCCTCCCCTCACTCCCTTCCTCACCTCACTCCTCACACCCCCTCCCCCATTAGTTGTGTGTGTTTGTTTCATCTTCGCTTCTCAGTCGCTTCTCATTATATTATTCATCGTTAGTCGATTTATTGTTTAATTATTTATATATATTCGGTATGTTTTAATATATACGTACATGTGTAAGTTTTAATATATGCGTACATGTGTAAGTTTTAATATATACGTACATGTGTAAGTTTTAATATATACGTACATGTGTAAGTTTTAATATATACGTACATGTGTAAGTTTGAATATATACGTACATGTGTAAGTTTGAATATATACGTACATGTGTAAGTTTGAATATATACGTACATGTGTAAGTTTGAATATATACGTACATGTGTAAGTTTTTTTTATAAGTGTTTTTGTTGGTGACGATGGTGTGTGTGTGTGTGTGTGGTGTGTGGTGTGTGTGTACCATTTAAGGGTTGTAAACAGGTGATTGACAAGACGATTGGTTTATTGGAGTTCCATTCTTATTTTAAGGGTTGGGTTGTTCTTCCCCCTCCCCTCCCCGTGGTCTCCCCCCCCCCTCCTGTCTTCCCCTGCCTCTGTGTCCTCCAATATCCTGGTTGAGCCAAGACACAGGATTGAGGTTTATATGACCAGGAACCAGAGGCGATGTTGAACAGGTATGGGTGTGTGTGTGTGTGTGTGTGTGTGTGTGTGTGTGTGTGTGTGTGTGTGTGTGTGTGTGTGTGTGTGTGTTTTAACCTGTCTGTTTATGTGAGTACCGTGTGTGTGTACTTTGTTTATGTGAGTTATGTGTACTGTGCTTTTGTTTGTGAGTACGTGTGTGTGTACCTCTGTTTATGTGAGTACCGTGTGTGTACCCTTTGTTTATGTGAGTACTTGTGGCACTTTGTTTATGTGAGTACCGTGTGTAACTCTTGTTTATGTGAGTACCGTGTGTACCTTTGTTTATGTGTGAGTACCGTGTGTGTACCTCTTGTTTATGTGAGTACTGTGTGTGTACCTTGTTTATGAGTACCGTGTGTGTGTGTGTGTGCAATCTCTTGTTTATGAGTACCGTGTGTGTGTATCTCTTGTTTATGTGAGTACCGTGTGTGTGTACCTCTTGTTTATGTGAGTACCGTGTGTACCTCTTGTTTATGTGAGTACCGTGTGTACCTTGTTTATGTACCGTGTGTGTACCTTTGTTATGTGAGTACCGTGTACTTTGTGAGTACCGTGTGTGTACTCTTATGTGAGTACCGTGTGTACTCTTTGTTTATGTGAGTACCGTGTGTGTACTTTGTTTATGTGAGTACCGTGTGTGTGTAATTCCCCTTGTTTATGTGAGTACCGTGTGTGTTGTGAGACTGTGTGTG